AACTCAGTCTGGAGATTACATTTAGAAATATATGATAATACCATTTACTTTTTAAAATTATTTGAGTTTGTTTAAATGTGATTTTTTTTAAAAATACCTTTTAAAACAGGAAGCTGACGATAAGCTGCAAGTTTTGGCTGAAATATATTTTCCATTAGAACCCGTTCCATAAAAAACAAGTCCTGATGAAATTTGTCAGATTTTAATATTGCATCTGAGTGGTCTTCCTCACCATCATGGATCTTTGTCAGAATTACATTTTCTATATCCATTAGAGAACTAGCTTCACTATCTGTAAAATACAAACATGATGCAATGATAAAATAGCCACATAATATTAGATGGTTCATACATTCTAAAGATTTAAAAAATGACATTTCATCATTTGTATTTGTTTTCCTCCAATTTGCAACAATATCAATAGACACTTATTGAATATCTTTTAAGTACCAAGCGCATGCAAGATGCACATATATTATCTCATTTTAGAATTCTTAACCATCAAAAAATGTACTGTTTTCAGAAGATAAGCAATGATAACCCCATGAGGTAATTTGTATCTCTATATTTTTTTATTCAAATTGAAATAAGATTATCAGTTTCCAGTTAAAGATCTGATTTGATGATTGCCTTATAGGAATACTACACTACTGTATTTCTATTGCTGCAAATTACAGTGGTTTAAAATAATACAAATTTATTAACTTACAGTTCTATAAATTAAAGATCTGATATAGGTGTCACAAAGCTAAAACCAAGAAGTTGACAGGGCTATGTTCCTTTCTGGGGGCACTAAAGGAGAATTGTTTTTCTTGACTTTTCTAGAGGCTACCTACAACCTTTCTTTCATCTTCAAAGACAGCAACATGGATTGCATTTCTCTGACCTTCTTCCGTCATTACATCTCTTTCTCAGACCACAACTGGGAAAGGTCCTTCACTTTTTAGTACCCATGTGATTGCACTGAGCCCAAGGGATAATCTCCCCATCTGAAGATCCTTATTGTAATCACATCTGGACAATCTCTTTTGCCATATAAGGTAGCATATTCACATATTCTAGAAATTGGGATGTGCACAAATTTGGGGGACTATTTTTCTGCCTATCACACTACTTAGTAAACTCTTATTTTAAAAACAGAAAGAAGGGGACTCCTGCTTCCTCATCTTCATAGATAGAATAAACACACTTTTTTCTATTCCTCCTACTAAATCCAACTAAACACACTGAACATTACATAGACAAAAAATAAGGAGTCTTTGAAAGGTGGAGAGAAGGAATGGGTATTCTTTTTGCTTCACATATTCCAGACATGACACCGAAGAAGCCAGCAACCTGGAAACACCAATGGGCACAGACAAAGAAAATCCCAAAAAGAAGCCTCCTCTCTCTAGCCAAAGGACCAGGAAAGGAGCAGCTTTGAAAGAAAGAAAGCTTTTAGATGATGACCATTCTACTTCAGCCAAACACCATAGGAAAAAAAACTGTACCCCACCCGTGCTACAAAGGCCATATGGGAACCTAGACTTCTACCCTCACCAGCCTTTAGCAATGCATTGCAATACTCTGACCCTCCACAGTGTGCGGTGTGAGATAAGACCCAGCAGGGAGCAAGGACTTTTATCCCTACAAAACATAATGATAGTGCTCCCCTTCCTACAGTGTCAGTGCAGACCAGTTGGGGAGGCTGGAATTCCATGCCCACCTGGAAGTAACAAGGTGTGCCCTCACACTCCCCACTGAAGTATCCAGAGTTGGACTAGAGAAGAGTCAGAACTCTCATCACTACCCGGCAGTAATGAGGCAGGCCAGTCCCCATTCAGTGTGTCAGTGGAGGCCATCTGTAGAGCAGTAATGAAGCACTCCTATACCTTCCAGCCGTGGAGGTATCAATGGAAACCAGAGCTTATCCAGCAGTAATGAAATACCCCTCCCTCACGTGTCATTGGAGGTCATATGGAGAACCTGGACTTCTACCCCAGCCTAGCAATAATGAGGCAGTGACCCCCACTATCCCCTTCCAGAACAGTATCAAACAAAGCCTGTTAAAATGGAAAGTTTAAAAAAGATCCAGACTCTTATAACATGATACCCAAAATGTCCAGGTTTTACCTGAAAGTCACTCATCATACTAAGAACCAAGAAAATCTTCACTTGAATGAAAAAACAAAACAATAGATACTAATATAGAAATGACAGAGATGGTAGAATTATCTGACAAAGAGTTTAAAGCAGACATCATAAAAATGCTTCAGCAAGTATTTATGAACATGCCTGTAACAAATGAAAAAATAGAAAGTATCATCAAAGAACTAGAAAGTCTTAGCAAATGAAAAGAACCAAATGGAAATTTTAGAACTGAAAAATATAATTACCAAAATTAAAAGCTCAGTTGATGGGATCATCAGAAGAATGGAGGGGACAGAGGAAAAAAATGAATCAGTGAACTTGAAGACAGAATAAGAGAAATAACACAGTCCAAAAACAGAGAATGGAGTTGGAAAAAAAAGAAAAATGAACAGAGCCTCAGAAACTCAGAAGACTGTAACAAAAGATCTAACATTCATGTTGTTGTTATCCAAGAAGGATAGGAGAAAGAGGGTGGGACTGAAAAACTACCTGAAGAAATTAATAGCCGAAAACTTCTAATATTTCGCAAAGGACAAGAATGAACAGATTCAAGAAACTGAATAAATCTCAAAGAGGATAAATCCAAAGAAATACTATACACCAAGACACAGCATACTCAAACTTTTTTTTTAAAAAGAGATGGGGTCTTGCTCTGTTGCCCAGGCTGGGATACAGAGGCTTGATCATAGCTCACTGCAGCCTCGAACCCCTGGGCTCAAGTGATCCTCCTGCCTCAGCCTCCCAAGTAGCTAGGAGTACAGGCGCATGCCACCACACTCGGCTAATTTTTAAAAATTTTTTGTAGAGATGGGATCTTTCGATGTTGCCCTGGCTGTTCTTGAATTCCTGGCCTCAAGTGATCCTCCTGCCCTGGTCTCCCAAAATGCTAGGATTACAGGCTTGAGTCATCACACCTAGCCATACTCAAACTCCTAAAAACGGAAGGAAAAAAAAAAAAAAAACACCTAGAAAACAGGGAAAGAGAAATGATAGGGGGGAACAATTTGAGTAACAGCAGATTTCTCATTAGAAACCCTGGAGGCCAGAAGAAAATTGTACCTATTCTCTGAGTTCTGAATGAAAAGAACTGTTAGTCCAGAATTCTATAACCAATGAAGATACCCTATGGGAATAAAGAGGAAATTCAGATGTATTCTCAGTTGAAGGGATAATAAGAGAATTTGTCTCCAAAAAAAAAATCTTCCCTAAGAATGGTTAAAAGAAATTCTCTAAACAAAGATAATGAGAAAAGGAATTTTGGAACATCAGAAAGGAAAAAAAGAACAATGGGGAGAGTGAAAATTTGGGTTGGATAATTCTTTGTTGTTGGGGCTATTTTGTGTAGTAAAAAAGATTTTTAGCAGCATTCCCTGGCTTCCAACCACAAGATGCCCTCGTAGTCATAACAACCTAAAATGTCTTCAGACATTGCCAGATGTCCCCTGGAGAAGTAAAATAGCCCCAAATTAAGAGCCATTGTTGTCAATGTATCTCCATTTTAAGTGATCATATAAGTAGTATATATTCTTTTTCTTATAAATTATCTAATCTAAAGAAAAGGAGAAAGAAAATGATGAAACTCACATGTATGAAAGAGAGCTTAAGAGCAAGTAAAGGAACACTAGAGAAAGATGGAAACTTTTGACGGGTATCCAATAAAAAATAAATTTTTCTGTTGAGTCTAAGACAATGTGAAAGAGTAACAATGCTATTTCTGAGTAAAGTTGTACTTTTCATGGTCCATCAGAAAGAAAACATTGTATTATTACTGCAAAAAAAATTTATTTAAAATGTCATATGAAAATCATTTTAAAAAGCTGAAATAAAGGAAATCTTACTTTTTTCTATAGTGCTCCCTCGTGATCTTTCGTCTTGATCTTTAGGAAGTACACCTGCTTTACTACTTGACTCAATAATAGATGGTTTTACTGATGAAGGTGAAAGTTCCACAACATTATAAGAATCATACAAATCCCAGGCAGTAGACATTATGCCTAAATAGACAAAAAGGTAAAGATTACTTTAACCAAATTCTCATGTTTCAGCTTTATACATAGCTAGTCAAAGCAAAATTTAAAATAATATCTACTGTTGCTGGGCACAGTGGCCTGTGCCAATAATCCCAGCTACTTGCGAGGAAGAAGAAGGAGGACTGCTTCAGGCCAGAGGATTGCTTGAGGCCA